AATATATTTGCATATGTACATGTCTTTATCTAGAGCTCTAGAAATGTCGTTTGCCTCCCAGCTCTTTCCTCTATTTCCCTTGATTTTCCTCCTGTCCCACTATCATGCTCAGTCCCCAAAGGAAGGCATCTTGATCATCAGAGACCAGCATCTTCTGGGTTGCCAATAGCAAGCAGGACCACATTTATTTACCAACTCTCCAGTGCCTTCCCCAAGCTGGGCAGGTAAAACTCAGATCCTGACCATGTCTGACAGGTCCCTGTGCCCTGTGCCCCTGCCTTCCTCAGCCTCTTCGTCCAGGGCACTTCTCCCTCTCGCACTCACTCTGCCACACAGGCCTTCTCCATCCCAGAGAGGTCAACCTACATCCCATCTCAGGGCCTCTTTGCACGTGCCGATCCCTCTGGGGATGGAATACCCTCCCACCCCAGCTCTCTTCTGTTCAAACTTGAGATTGCCATTGAAAAGAAATGTCCCAGAGGGGATTTCTGTGCGACACCACCATTGCCATCCCAATTAGATTTCTAGTGCTATTCTTTCTCTCAAGTATAACACGAGATTGGTCCCATGAAGACCACTTGAGTAAATACACTTAACAAATGGAGGACATAGAGAAGTGCATGTAAAATATATGACACTCTGGCCGGGGCCTAGTGAGTACTCCCTAGTCAATGTTTCCATTCTGTGGCACGAAGGGTGGCTGTAAGTCGGAACTGACTGATCAGCACTTCATGACAACTGCTGTTTGTATGATATCTGCCCATCTGACAAGCTAGGATAACGTATATTCCCTCTCATTGTTTGGTTTCACATTGCGGAAGCATCCCGAGTTTACTAGTGTTTCGCGCGCCATCTGTTATGGACAGATCATGAGATAACTCATGATTTCTACGCGCTGTCTTCAGATGCCATCTGCTTGGATATATTTTAACTACCTCGTCTATTTAGGTGTTTAAATCAGTAGTGAATGTATCAAACTCGATTGTCTTCATGTTTTTTGTTTATTTAGCATTTTGGTTAAATCAAATAGCTACTATTTTCGTCTTCAATTTCTGCCTACTTTTAGAGATGGCTTCATACAGAAAACGGAAGGAAGTGAACGAATCTGAAGTACTTTGGGAAGTTTTTGACGACGATTATTCAGCTGTTCCTGGTGAAAATGAAGATGCAATGACTGTGTGAATGAACGTTTTGATGGTTCTGAGGACGCTTCCAGTGACAGTGACATTATTAGACCTGTAAAGAGCATAAAGTGGCAGTGCTTTCAAGTGATTCTGACACCAACGATGAAGGGGATTCTGTTTTTGTGAATGATTCGTTTTGTAATAATGTTACTAACGATTGGTGTGAAATTGACATTCCACTACGTTTGGAAATGTTTGAAGTTCATCCTTGGGTTATTCCATCTCCAGCTCAATGTGAGTCTGTAGCCTCTGTGACTAGCCGGATGTTTGGTATTGACTTGTTTGAATTGTTTTGCAAGGAGTTGTGCACTTATCATGATCAAACCTCAGAGAAATGTAAAACATCACCTAAATCGCTCAAGTGGTCTCCTGTTACACAAAAAGACACCCAGAAATTCTTAGCCCTAATTCTTCTGATGGACAAACACGAAAAGATAGCTGGAAAGATTATTGGTCAACAGATCCTCTAATAGCTACCCCGATATTTTCGCAGACTATGAGTCGTAATAGATTTGAACAAATATGGACATTCTGGCACTTTAATGAAAACACGAGAACGGACAGTAGCTCTGGAAGACTCTAAAACTAAACCTGTGCTGGATTATTTCCTCAATAAATTCAGGACACTTTACAGACCAAAACAACAGTTGTCTTTGGACGAGGGGATGATTCCGTGGAGAGGACACCTGAGGTTTCGAACATACAACCCAGCAAAGATTACAAAGCAGGGTTTACTTGTTAGGGTGGTGTGCGAGAGTGACACAGGCTATATCTGCAATGTGGAAATTTATACTGGTGAAGGGAAGAAATTGGAAAAAACTGTTCTCTCAGTTCTTGGCCCTGATCTTGGTATGTGGCACCATATCTACCAGGATAATTACTATAACAGTATCTCTACTGCTGATTTACTACTGAAAAACAAAACTGTGGTACTATTAGAGTGAACAGCAGTTTACTGCTAACTCTAAAAGCCAAAGCATCAAGAATGAAGAAAGGTGACATCGTTTTCTGTAGAAAAGGTGACATTCTTCTCCTCATATGGAAATACAAGCGAGATGTCAGAATGATACCAACAATTCATGATGCTTCTGTCTCAAATACAGGAAAGAACAATAGAAAAACTGGAAAGGATATATTGAAAACTGTGTGGATACATCAATATAATGCCCACCTGAAGGGAGTTGATCGTGCAGATCAGTACCTCTCGTATTATCCTATTCTAAGGAAAACAATGAAATGGACAAAAAAAGTCATCCTCTATCTCATAAACTGTGGACTTTTACAATTGTTATAGAATTTACAATGCCCTGAATCCAGAGAAACAAAATGAAGTACAAGCAGTTTGTCCTTTCAGGGGCAAACTACTGGATTACTGACAATGAAAATGAAGGCTCTCCGGAACCAGAGAGAGAGATGTCCAGCCCAACCCCCAGTAGACCAGGGAGAGCACCACGTAAAGACCCACCAGGAAGGCTGTCAGGTGACGTGAAGCAGCAAGAACCTGTGTTCATTTCAAGCAATGGAAAAGAGAAATTTCCTACCAGAGCCTGTAGAGTTTGCGCTGCCCATGGAAAAAAGAAGTGAAACCAGGTATATTTGCAAATTTTGTGAGGTACCGCTTCACAGAGAAAAATGTTATACAAAGTACCATACATTAAAAAAGTACTAGGAGCCTTTGTTTATATATAGGTTCTGTGCTAACTACAACATATGAAATAATTGTAACCGTTTAGGCTAAGGTCTCCACAACTAATCAAACCAAAGGGCTAGGAGGTAATTTTTGCACAGTGACTCAGGGATAATATTTGCACACTGTCTTTGTTTCTCAATGTAGTTGTAGAGTACAGTTGTAGAATGTAGTAACAATAGTACATTGCATAACAAAGTAACATATCAACAAATGAACACTGGGGAACAAAGAATGTATTTTTTGTTTGATACACTATTTATTTTGACTGTTTTTCAAAGTAATGTGGATTATGTGGATTGTTTTTACAAGAAGTTTATAATTTCATGAAGATTATAGTTCATAAAAGTAATGTTTCTCATACATTGCAAAATATTGTTTCATAATGTGAGACGTTTTATATTCAAAAACTGAAAGTTATAAATAAATATGATAAAAAGTTGATGAGATGTAAACCCATTTATGGTTTAATGCAAAAAAAGCCTAACAACTTAAAAAATACATGGCCACTTGGGTAAGTTGGTAAAAAAAGATCCGGTCTTTTTTTTTTTTTTTAAAAGATCCGGTCTTTAATGTGGTATGATCTCATTGTGTGGTTCGATGTTCTTTCTTTCTTTTTAAAAATCATTTTATTGGAAGCTCTTACCGACATTGTAACAGCTCATAATTCCACCAGAGCAAGCATAATTGTACAGTTGCTGCCACCATCATTTTCAAGCTCCCGCAGGCAGACTTGCTCATGTCATTTAAAACAAAAACAAACAAACAAAACACCTCTAGAGCTTTTGTTAACATTCTTACTTTGACCACGTTCTCCACGAAAAGTAAAGGGCAAAAGGGCCCACCGAGGTGGCAGGGTGCGGGTGCGAGCAGCTGACAGGCCTGGGCCAAGCGCTTGCCCCCCTCCCTCCGGCTACTGTGACGTGCGTGCGGCGCCCACGTGACTCGCCGTTGCCGACCTGCGCACCCGCTGCCCGCGCCCGCCGGTCCTTCCAGCGGTCCGGCCCGGAGCCTTGTGTTCAGGCCCCTGGGCTCTTTACTGTCGCCGCAGGTTCCTTCAGGTCAGTGTGAGGCCCCTCTTGATTGTTTGCGGAACGCTCGCGGAACGCCGCGACGGGGGACGGGAACAGGGAGGTGGGTTCAAGTGCGGGGACGCTGGCCGATGGCAGTGGGAAACAGGCCCCTGGTGGATGAGGGCTAGCAAGCAACCAGTGGGCAGGGAATAAACACCTCCAGACTCGGGGGCTACTTTCCGAGCACCCCCACCTTTCTTTCCTACGTCCATCTTGGAGTCGGAAATGGTGGGCAGAGGGAGGCGTCCCAGCGGTGCGCCGAGGAAAATAAACCTCGGTTACTGTTGGTGGCGTAGAAGGAAAACTTAGACCTCCGGGGTAGGGAAGCAAGTTCCTTCCAGCGGGGAACTCAGAGCAAAATTACGTAGTTGGGAAGAGATCCTGGTGTGCTGCCACAGACCTGAAAAATGGCGGCGAGGGAGGGGGGGAGGGGGGTGTGGAGAAGGGAATCGTTGAGTGAGGAGCCCTAGATTGAGGGAAGGACCACTGTCACTCCGCTATCTATCGCCATACATCCGCCTCCTGTCACTGCGCGCCGCCTCTCTCCTGTCTGTCTGCAGGTCTGTGCGTCTATTACCCCAAGCACTCCGAGGCTAGAGACAGAGGAGAAGCCTGTCCCGAAGCCCTGCAGGTCGGTGTGTGTGGGGGGGCAGTGGACATGAACCCTGGGCTGGGCGGGGTATGAGGACAAAAGCTCGGCAGGATTTCAAGACCCCATTGTCCCGCACATATACACATACCATCCCACATACCATCCCGGCTGGAAATAGAGATGATGGCAGTGTTTACCTGGGAAAGGGGGGATGGGGGTGGGGGTGGAGACAGAGTGTGCAATTGGGGGAGGAGGGGTATGTGGTGTTTAAGGGCAAGCTGAAGGCACACTTGGAGGCCCAGGTTAGAGCAATCCCGGTGAGGGCAGAGGTGAGATGCATGTACTATATTTAGAACCTGCACTTCACTCCTAAGTCCTCAGCCTCCCTTGTCTCCTCTCCCTACCACCAGGACAGGAAAAGGAGACTCTCAACATGGAAAAACTCAACACTGACAATGAAGGAAAGCTGGAAAACCAAGAAAAGGTGGAAAACGAAGAACTGCCACCGACTGAGGAAAAGCCAGAAGCCACTGGCTCTCCGGAAAACAAGGAAAAATTAGGAACAGAAGACAAGGAAACCTTAGGAACAGAGGACAAGGAAAAGTTTGGAATAGAAAACAAGGATAAGTTAGGAACAGAGGACAAGGAAAAGTTAGGAATAGAAGGCAAGGAAAGGTTAGGAACAGAAGACAGAGGAAAGTTAGGAATGGGAGAGAAGGAAAAGTTAGGAACAGAAGACAAGAGAAAGTTAGGAATGCAAGGCAAAGGAAAAATAGGAACAGAAGATAAAGGAAAGTTAGGGATGGAAGGCAAGGAAAAATCAGGAACAGAAGATAAAGGAAAGTTAGGAATGGAAGGCAAGGAAAAATCAGCAACAGAAGACAAGAAAAAGTTAGGAAATGAGGGAAAGGCAGAAGAGGAAATGCCAAAGGATACAGGAAAGGCTGAGGGTGAGGGGAAGCCCAAAGAAAAGCCAGCAGGTGAAACCAAGGCTTCAGCCAAGCGCCCAGCTCAGGATGATGTCCCCAGAAAAGCAAAAAGAAAAACTAATAAAGGGCTGGCTGAGTACCTCAAGGAGTATAAGGAAGCCATTCATGATATGCATTTGAGCAATGAGGAGATGATAAGAGAGTTTGATGAGATGGCAAGGGTGGAGGATGAGGTGAAAAAATCCAAGCAGAAATTGGGGGGCTTTATGTGGATGCAAAGAAGCTTGCAGAATCCCTTTCACCCCAGAGGTCCGAGGGAACTTAGGGGTGGCTGCAGGGCCCAACAGAGAGGCTTTGAAGACATTCCTTATGTGTAGTGCCTTTGAGCTTCCCTTAATGTTGTGACGGATTAGAACACGATCGACCCTGCGCTCTCCTTTCTTGCATTTCCCTGGCAGACATTTGCCAGGCTCTGTGCTTTAACCTTATGCTGACACTTGGCTTTAGGCATCCCTCTAGGTACCAATAGCCTTTGACCCAACTACAGTGCTCTGTTTCAGTAGGGGACTTTCACCCATTGCATGAAATTAAAAAAAATGTTTATGGTGCATTCTACAATTAAAACAGTTTGCAGAACCATATATACAGCATCGGTCCATTTCTTTAACATACAAACTGAATTTAGTAATCTAGGCACAGAAAAGGAAAGCTGTGTCTACTAAAAGATTAGCAATGGTTGTCCATGGGTGCTTTTTCATGGTGGTTCTTTTTTGTGCTTTTAAGTTTAAAACATACTCCCTTTGTTATACAGAAATGATTTTTAAAAAAATCAAAACTAGGAAACCCATACATAGCAATTAAACAATTGTTTAGGGATGCCACTAAGAATTATAAGAAGTTCTCATGGTGGTAAAACTCACATTACTTCTGGGCCTCATAGGTAGATGAATCTGCCTAACAGTTGTTACATATGCATTGCTATGGAGATTAGTATCACCATCTGTGAGATGAGGGCTGCCTAGTGGATCAAGTGAGGTGCTGAGCCCATGAGCTGGTTGGCCTGATTCCTACCCTCACCCTCGCACTAGGAAAGCCAGGGCCTCTTCACATACTGGAGGGAAGGGCTTGAAGGAGGTTTCATCCATGTCTAGGAATATGTTCAGGTAATTGAGAGGTACGTGCTACCCTACCCTTGGTACTGCCATGGATGCTAGGCACTGTGTACCTTCTGGAGCCTGGGTGTGCTATTGAGTTGATTCCATCATAACAATCTTGCATTCTAAAGCCTTCCTCACTGCAGATGGGATAGAGCAGTGTGGTTCTCAACCTTCCTAATGCTTCGACCCTTTAATACAGTTCCTCATGTTGTGGTGCCCCCCAACCATAAAATTAATTTCATTGCTACTTCATAATTGTAATTTTGCTACTGTTATGAATCAGGTGGCCCCTGTGAAAAGGTCGCTGGACCCCAAAGGGGTTGTGAGCCACAGGTTGAGAACCCCTGGGCTATAGATTACAATGGGCCCCCTTGAGCCAGCAGAAGAGTAGGGAATTCTCATCTGAAAATACAGCTAAGCAAACCCAGTTGGGTAGTACCTAGTTGTGATTTAGGCCCTGATACTTTACAAAGTTTAAAAAAAATCATTTTCTTCCCATGCACACGTGTGTGTGCGCGTGAGCGCGCATGCGCGGCATGCACACATATAGCATCTCCATCATACTCAGATACTGGAGACTGAGCCAGGAAAAAAATCAGAGTAGTCAGGTGCTGTGATTGCCAATTACATCTATTAATTTCTTGTCTGCTTACACTTTTCTGAGAAGGAATGATCTCCCATGAAGTTGCTGTTAGGCTTTGCCCTACCATTTCAACATTCATTCCCCACCCCCAGCTCTTGATTAGCTTAAAGTATGTGTGTTTTAAAGTAGATTTATTTTCTATCGGTTTCTGATCTAATAAACTATTGTAAAGATGGTACAGAGCTTGATTCATAGCCATACCCAAAACCAAACACTGCCATCAAGTCAATGCTGACTCACAGTGGCTCTCCTGTGGGATTCCAAGACTGTTAATGGGAGTAGAAAACCCAATCTTTCGCCTTCGAAGCTGCTGGTGATTTTGAGCTGCCAACCATGTGGATCACAACCCAACCTGTAAGCACTGCCACCAGGGCTCCAGCCATAACCAGATTGCCTTATTGGCATCTTACATTCCCAAAACCAAACTCACTGCCATTGAGTGGATTCTGACTCAGTGGCTATAGGACAGCATAGAGATGCTCCTGTGGGTTTCCAAGATTAACTACAGTAGAGAGCCTCACCCATTCTCCTGTGGAGCAGCTGGTGGTATCGAACTGCTGACCTAGCGGTCAGTAGCTTGACATATAAACTATGCCACCAGAGCTCCAATTTGTCACAAACCGACATTAATACATCACAATTAACTAAAGTTAGTATTCAGATTTTCTCAATTTTTCATAATGTTTTCCCCCCAAAATTATTTTATTGGGAGCTAACACAGAAAGATCATTCCATAGTTCAATCACATGAAGCAGTGTTGTACAATTGCTACCACAATCAATTTTAAAACATTTTCTTCCTTCTTGAACTTCATACCCTTCCCCCTTCCTCCACTGTTTCCACCCAGGAACCCTTATTCTACTTGCTGTCTCTATAGGTTTATCAATCCTGGGTTTCATATACCAAAAAACCTATAACAAAAATTCAAGAGGGCTACCACAATAACAAAATACATCAGAGAAAAACCTCAATATGGAAAAAAAATCCAAAATGTTGAAAACCATAATGTCCTTTTTCTATTCCAGGTTACCACAGTATTTGTCATGTCTCCCTATACTTCTCTGGGCTGTGGCAACTTCTCAGACTTTCTTTGTTTTTGATGGCCTTGGCACTTTTGAGCAGTTTCTGTTATTTTGCGTATTTGTAGACTGTCCCTCAATTTGGGGCGGTTGTTTTGGGTTTTTTTTCATGGTTAAATGGTTGTGCCTTGCAGTTTGGGGAAGAAGATCACAAAAGTAAAGTGCCAATTTCACAATGTCATATCAAGGGTACAGGCTAGCCATCTGATTTGTTTAACGTTAACCTTGGTCGCCTGGCCGAGGTGGTATTTGTCAGGTTTCTGCTTTGCAACATTTTAATTTTATTTCTATACTATTATCAAATACTCCACATTGGTTTATCCAATTAAAACTACATATTTTGCTGCTCAAATAGTTCCACTATTGGCCATTAGAAGTTCTTTTAGTTGGCTCCTGTATCCCACTGACATGCTCCCATCATAGTGGGTTGCTTTTTTAGTACTTTCTTACTTTCTGGCACTACAAGCCCTAGCCTCATCTTATCTATTTCCTACCCCAATCCTCAAATCACCCACTTCTCCAAGGACCTCTGATACTGCTCATTGGAGAATGGTATTAAAAACCAAGATTGGGGTCTGAGCTGTGCTGATTGCTACTGGGATATCTGTGCTTACGGGCCTCAGCGGGCCGACAAGGAAATGTGGATGTGGATGTTGTTAGGTACTTTCAAGTTAGCTCCCAACCATAATGACCCTATGTGCAACAGAATAACATAGTCTCTAGTGGTGTGCCATCCTTGTAATTGGTGTTATTTGAGCCCATTGTCGCAGCTACTGTGCCAATCCTCTTCACTGAGGCTCTTCCTCCTCTTTATTGATTCTCCTTCAAGCATGATGTCAGTCTCCGTGGACTGGTCCCTCCTGATAACATGATCAAAGCACGTGAAATAAAGTCCCACCAGAGAGAGTCGTCTAGTAGTACTTTTTCCAAGATGGATTTGTTTGTTGTTCTTTTAGTCCAGGATATATATTCAACATTCTTGACCAACACCATCATTTCTTTGATCAGTCTTTGTTACTGTCCAGCTTTCACAGGTGTGTGAGACAGTTGAAAATACTCTGCGTTGAGTCAGGCTCACCTTAGTTCTCAAAGTGATATCTTTGTTTTCTAAGACTTACAAGCTCGTTGGCAGCAGCGTTCCTTAACGTAGTGTGTCATTGCTGTTTTCATGAGCCTTGATTGCAGATCCAAGTAAAATGACAGCTTCACTTTAGCAGCTTCATTTTTTTCTCTGTTTACTGTGATATAGTCTATTTACTGTCTCCTTATTGGTCCAAGTATGAGGGTTTTTGTTTTCTTTATGTTGAGGTGTAAATCAGACTGAAGGCTGTACTCTTTGATCTTCCTCAGTAAGCAGTCCTCTTCATTTGAACAAGCAAGGTTGTGTCGTTTGTATATCACAGGCTATTAATGAGCCTTCCTCCAATCCTGACACTGAGTTCTTCCTCATATAGTCCAGCTTCTCATATGATTTGCTTAGCGTACAGATTGAATAAGTATGGTGAAAGAATACAACACACACCTTTCTTGGTTTTCCAACCACCTAATATCCACTTGTGTGTAGAGGGTTTCACATGAGTACAAATAAGTGCTCTGGTATTCCTTTCTTTGCAGTATTATCCATAACATGTTATGATCCAGTCGCCTGCCTTTCCATAGTCAATAAAACACGACTTTGCTTATAGGCTCTGCTAACATAGTATGTAGATGTGAATGTGTGTATACATATCTATAAATATTTTTGCATTAGTCATCTCTACAGAATGCTAAACCTAAGTTTATATTGTCTCCAGCTGTACTGTATGTTCGGGCTGAATCATGCTTGTCTCCTCTCCCTTTTTTATCTGTAACTTTCAACCCCAACAATGAGAAACCTTTCTCCACCATCTGTCATACATTTACTTACATAATTGTTTAATTATAGTTTACAGGTATGTTGTTAGGTATCATTGAGTTGGTTGCAGCTCATAGTGACCCTGTGTACAACAGAAAACACAGCCCAATCCTGTGCCATCCTCACAATTATTGTTATGTTTGAGTCCATTGTTGCAGCAGTATGTCAATCCATCTTACACAGGGGTCTTCCTCTGTTTCACTGTCCTGCTACTGTACAGGTATCATGGCTTCAAAATTGTGAACACATTTCCCCTTAAGTTAGAGCTTTACCAGTCAAAGTATGGTGCTTATGTACAGTTTCTTTTTCCTTTTAGTCTTACAGACACCACTTAATTCCAGAGTACTTACTTACAGTATATGGTTACGTATAAGCCGACCCAAAGATCAGCCGTGGCACCTAATTTTACCACAAAAAAACGCATTAAAATGTGTTGGAAAACTCAGTTTATACATGAGTACATATGGTATATCAGTACTCTATCCCCCTACCTCCTTCAGTGGAGATTTTTTTCCATATATTTGTAATTCGTTTCAATTATTTTGTCACATGCTCCATTTTTGGGACTGCTATTGTAAATGGCATTATTTACTTTTAATTTCAAATTCCAATAGTTTGTTCCTGATATATAGGAAAGCTACTGACTTTCATATGTTAACTTTTTATTTTACAACCTTGCTGTACTTGCTTAGTTCCAGGAGTTTGTCGGTTCTTTAGGGTTTTTGACATGGACAATCATGTCATCTGTGAAGAGCAACAGTTTTACTTCTTCCTTTCCAATCTGTATATACATATATATTTTTAATCATTTTATTAGGGACTCATACAACTCTTTTCACAATCTGTACACACATCATTTGTGTCCAGC